ACAGGTGGCGGAGAATAGAATGCTTGTCGACTCGTCGAGGTTGTCGAGGTTCCATTGTCAAAGAGACGGACGGCAATGTCGCGGCACGTCTGCAGGGTCTTTCCGTTATCTCTCATCTGGACAAAGATCTGGCACATGATGCGGCTGCAAGACTCGGACGTCATGTGGTGGCTGGCGAATGACAGTTGGGGAATGCGCATGGCATGCATGCGCCAGACGACTCGTCGCAGCTGACTGGCTGAGGCGAGGAAGTCCGAACAACTGCAGTTAGTGATCAAGATGGGGATAAAAGTGCAGAGAAACGAACAGGACAGGCCGGGTGATTTGGTTCGTTTCGACAGCGAAAGACCGTGTTGGGGATGGAGGGGTTAATTTGCGGGCATGATGAGGAAGACGAGGACTGGGGAATGAAGGATGTTTAAGGTAAGGTGTCGTGGGATAGCACTGCTAGGTAACTTTACTGATGACTGGTTGGTGGTGGTGTTCGTGGACTGGACTCGTGGAGAGGCGTTGTTCGTGATGTGCTGCCACCTGCCCCGGAGGTGTGGGGTACGTACCCCCGGAGGTATCTCGTCGTGTACCTTAGGGAAGGAATGTGGCCGAACGTACTTTGAAGTACTCTTTTCCAGGGTCCCAGCTGCACATGGAAGGGGCGAGGGAACATTACCTTACCTTACCTTAAGGTAAGGCAGTCTCCCGCTCCCCGCTAATGACGGGCAAGGCCTGGCGTTTGTCCTCGCTAATTACCTTAGCATAGCGCGGTCTTTGAGCTGCAGGTCCGTCGGGCGGCAGCTGCATATGGAACTTTGGTCTTTCTTGATCAATGATCATCCACCATTATCACCATTGCCGCCCCAACCTGCCCTGCTTGTTGACGGCAGTTCTGCGCCGCCTCGGCCCTGCCTCGACTACCGACCAACGGCATGTTCTGCCCGCGGGGGACTGAGGGACTGCTTACACCTAAAAAGCGGCGACACAAGGCACTATGCGGTCCGGACGGCGGTCCAAGTCGTCGAGACCCGATACTGGCCTCAAACAGCCCCCCCTCGGTCGTCTTCATGCTTTTCGGGGGGTGATCCCCCTCCCCAAACCCCTTGTTGACGTGTGCCTGCGCCTACCAACACTTAAGTATTGCTGCTGGCCATCCATCACTGAGAAAGGTGTACAATGTGTCGCTGTAAAGGTGCCAGGAGCCTAATTTATGCGGTCAACTCCATGCGGGCCACCCATTTGCGGTGATTTTTAGATTTGGATCGCCTGTCCCGGTCAGGTCCTGGTCGCATGAACACTCCCACTCCCACTGCTCCTTCCCCCCTTCTCGCTGCTTCTGCGCCCAATTGACTGGGTCTCGAGGCCTTTCCTTTTGCAGCTGATTACAGATGGTAACCTGGTAATTGCACCTCCACCGCCGGGAACCAAGCAATCATCCACCACCACCCACATCATGGCCCATGAGAGGGGAAGGGGAGGCTATTACATGTCCTGTCGGGTACACCGTTTGGCCTTCTGGGTAGGTACCGTACAGATAGACAGACCACTGTGTGTGCCTGTGCTTATGCTTGCGCCTGTGCCTGGCCCTTAACCATTCCCGGCTGGTGATCCAAAACCCATGTGCACCAACAGGCGGCGGCCCTGATGTCAGGCACCGCTCCGCCTGGCTTGGATGTCGAGCGAGCGAGCTTTGGTGTCGTGTCTCACGCAGAAGCTGCTGCACTGTCCAGTGTCCATGTCCATCCATGACCACGTCCAAGATCCGATCCAAGGTCAAGCCGACTTGACTTCCCCTCCTCCCCTTGCCCCGACGGGAGTCTTACAAAGTCCACCTCATCCCGCATCTAAAGCCGGCTTGCTGCTCCCTGCCTTCTCGTTCTTCTACTCCAACCTACCTACCTAACCTGGAACCCACCACCTCCCACCACTCGCCAGTATCAACTCTCAGCACCACCAGCGATCCCCTTTTCCCTGCCGCTTGCAGACGAAACAACTATTCGACCGCCTTCATCCTCGTCTCCCGACGGCGCATTCTTCCAACATCTTCACCGCATTCCAACTTGCTCCCGTATCACTGCCCAGCAATTCTTACACCATCTATCTCACTTACCCTCCCCACCGCACATTTACAACCGCGTGCCTGGGTTACTAGTGTGACAGGCACCCTGTCGATACTGTCAACCGCCCACTAGTCGCTGATCACCCTCCCTTTTCGTCGACCGCGAACCCAGCCATATCCTTTCCCTGGTTCCTCGCCGTCCTTCCCTCCAACTTCAACTCTTCAACTTACCGCTTTCTTCTACACCACCCGTAAAACACCGACGAAATGGCGCAAAACATGACCGACGCTGAGCTCGACCGCGACTGGGTTCCCAACGGTCGCCGCCCGCAATCGTGCGTACCAATTTCCTACACCCTTCCAGTTCGCTACTGGACTCACCGAGCTGCTGTACTGACTGCCAACTTGCAGTACTATTGCCCGCTCTTTCTCCGCGGAGCTAATGGACATTTTCCGCATTGAAAACAGTGTTGCCGACCTCGACGAGAAGGTTGTCCAGCGGTACGTTGCAGCAATTATTCTGGCAGCTCTCCCACCGCCAATCTGAGAGCCAACTACTGACGCGGTGGTCCACAGCAAGCAAACCGTTCAGACTCAGACCAACGAACTTGAGGCCCTCGAGCGTCGCATTCGCGAAATGGAGGAACGGCTGAAGAGCAACGGCCCTGCCCAGAAGCCTGCCGAGCGCCAAGCCGCCCATGATGCGGTAGCAGCCCTGTCCAAGGAGGCCGAGAAGGTCAGATCACGACCAGGTACGGCGCGCCAGAACCAGCCTCATGCCCCGTCGTCGGCGAACATGCCGCCCACACCCACTGCCAGCGAAGGTGAATACGAATTCGTCGGCAAGGATGACCTTGACGACGACCCTCCCCGACACTGAACAGCTACTCCCACAATCTGCCAATTCGCACCATACCCATAATACTATCACCACCACCACCACCTCCCGCCTGAGTCCCCCCTTCAAGCACCGCAACCACCACAACCACGGGCAAGCCACGGCGGCCACTTGTTCCTTGAGGCCATAAATGCTGACTTGCTCGGTTTCTCCCTACCAGACGGTGATCGCGAACGGGCGTGAGGATAGAGAACCCTTATTTTAGACTGCGACACCGGACTCTTTTAACATGAACGCTCGAGCGCAATCCCGCATATACCCGCACTCTGCGATTTACGGCCACACCGAACCGCGATGTCGACATTGGATTTTCGGTGCTTCTCACGCGGGACTGGAACCTCCATATTGGATTGCTCGCTTGTGCTTGGCAAAACCGCATGCCGAAGATCACATTTTGTGACGGGACGTCGCTCGCTATACCAGCCCTGAGCCTGTGTAAGGCACCAATAGGCATGACATTCCTGATCAACGAAATCGTTTGCATTTGGCTTTTTTCTCTTGCTGCCCCAAGGGCTTCGCATTTTTTTTCTTTATCCATCACGTCGGGGAGTTATAGCATGCATGAGTGGTGGTCCATACGTGGACAGGCGCCCTCTGGTCACTGAGACCAGCGGAAGAAAGGGCATCATCTGTATATACCAGGGGAAGAAGTGGAATTCACTGTGATTCGTTATGACATTTGGCATTGCGCGAAAGGGTCCTCAGGTGATGACGCCGACTTTGGCGCGTAGCCAAATTCCACACAGGCTGCAAGATTGTTCGTCGACCCAGGTTGTTGGTGAGCTTGGGCAGAGGATCTCGCCGTTTGCGAGCAACCAAGGATAAGCAAGGGCTGGGAGCACATTTTCTGCTTCTAACGGCTTTCAAATTACCAGGGTTCGCTCACTTGAAACAGCCCGCATTCCGATCTATCGAAATATTACATTCTTCCGCCCACGCGATGTCCTTGGTCCGGACCGCGGTCTCATCTCACAGCTTGCAGGTGTTGGTCAAAGAACACACGTCGAGTCCCTTCGGTCCGAAACTAACGAAGCTTCCCGTGTCGCCAAAGTTGAACTGGACATACATCGTCTTCAAAACCACTCCGCCAAAGATGCCATGGTCGTTGCCACTGGGCTGGATACCACCGAAGCACTTGCCGTCATTACTCGAAACTGGACCAAGGTTGATGTACTCCTTTGGTAACGTCCCGTTGAACCCACCGCTGGTAGCGAACTCGAAATCCGGAATGCCGGACGCAATGTTGCAGGGGAACAGCCACGCCCTCAGACTCGGATCGAATGTCGCGCCGGGGATCTCGGCGTAGTACAGGGCGACCAGCTGCCCCGGGATGAGGAGCAGGTTGCTCCCCGTGTCGACGGTCGCGGAGAAGGGCGCGCTCCACCACACGCCGTCGGCCATGGACGTCAGGCGGAAGCGGGCGACCTTGAAGTCCCAGTGCGGGGACCCGGGGACGGGCGGCTCGTCGACGAGGGTGGTGCTATCGCCGCTGCGGCCGGAGCCGAAGTCGAAGAAGCCGAGGGAGGAGTTGTGACGCAGGTCGGCGCAGATGGACGGGTAGTGCAGGTCCTGCTTGAGGCGGTCCATCATGGTGGGCATGGCGGGCTGGACGGCGGAGGGGCCGGACTTTGCGATGCCGAGGACGCCGCCGAGGCCGGTCTGGTCGACTGCGAAGTGGCCGGTGACGTCGACGGCGGACTGGATGGTTGCGTTTGTGATGTTGAACCAGTTTTGGTCGGTGAGCCCGCCGATGCGGAGGTTGTCGAAGTAGACCTTCCCCGAGACGCTACTGGTGTCGTCTGAGGAAGGGGGTGCTTTTGTTAGCAGAGTGTGGTTGGGGGTAGGGGCGGATGGGTGACGGACCATCTGTGAGGTTCCAGCTGAAGTCTGAGAGTTCTTGGCTTGCTCGTGACTTTGAGGGGTCGTAGAGGTTTGGTCTGCTGGCCGTCGCGATGGACTTTGGGAATTGGGTGTCGGTGGACAAGAGCCAGCTAGCGGTCATGTCAGTTTCAGCATCAGGAAGTGGGGAACAGGCTGTCTAGGAAGGATGGGTTACAAGTCTGAGACGCTGGAGTCGATCCTCACGGAGACGGGCTGCGCGTCGGGCGTGCCGAGGTAGATCTCGCTCAGCCAGGCGTCGTTGTTCGCGGTGCTCGCGGCGGGTGCGATGCCAGCTGTTTGGTTTCAGCTCGTCTTAGCGGTGGTGATCGGCCGTCGGAAACGGGGGAGGGAGGGAGGAAAACTTGCCGGAGTATCCAGCTCGTCGGGCGAGGAGGTGCGTCTCCAGGCCCTCCGGCACGGGCATGTCCCACCTGCGGTAGGCGGCTGCGAGCTCGGCGGGGCCGTCGGGGACATGGTGCGGGTTGGCGCGGACGGGGATCGTGAGGGATCGGCCCCGGGGCGGGACGGCGGCGGCGGCGGCGGGGGGCGCCGGTGTGGCTGTGGCGAAGCACCCGAGTTGGATGAGGGAGAGCAGCATTGTTTTGACCGTCATTATGGTGATGAAATGCTTGGGCAGGAATGATCACGGTGCTTGAGAGACTCTCTCTGAATGGAGTGGCAGCTTCGTAAAGATAGGTCTGGTCGGCTACACTTATATATGACCAACACAAACATACATCCCTTCATGGCCTGATGTCTTGCAACCGTGTTATATGACACCTTGAGACCGACAGGAGGCCGCTCCCCGCAAAAATACGGTGATCTCATCTGCCAGCGAGCGACATTTGTGCGTTTGTTTGCCTCTGTCTCGTGCAGAGAAGAGTCTTGGGGGGGAAAGGAAAAAAAGAAGTTTGTCTTTCCCTGTCTGGACGATCGCGCATTGCCCTTTCAGTGTGTTACGGGGCGCAGCGGATCCAAGTGCCGGTGCAGACACCCGTCTCGCGTGTGGTTGTGTAGGAAAGGGCAACTAAAGAGGCAAGGAAGGAAAAGACAAGTTGTGGTTTTGAAGGGAAGGTGATTCAGGGGGTGATTTGATGGTTGGTGTTGTCTTATCATGTGGTCTCACTGTGTGATGGGCAAGCGGAGTGTTTGTTCGACGAAAGGGAAAATTCATTCCTTTCTTTTTGGGAGCAGCGGAGTTGTGTTTGACTGTAAGGCGATGGACGAATATCGATGATTGTTGATTTTGTTTATTCTGTCATCCTGTCGAGAAGGTGAAAGTGTGCGCCGAGGATTGAGCCGGGACCGACGGGTGTGTTTCCCCGGAGGGACCTTGCTGGCGATGGTTTGCTCTTGAGATGAGTATGTTATTGATGATCTTGTGGTACGGGGGAAAGGGGGGACTCGGTGGTTATGGGTCGGGCCGTTTTTTGGCGATGACTGGGTCGGACGAGGACAGTCATGCGGGATGCGATGTTTGGCGTGCTGGGGAAATGACAAATTGACGAGACGGGGCGATCGGCAGCCTGCGTTACCTGTGACTATTTCGGTGCGCGATGGTGAGTGTTTGCTACTCATAGCGTATTCACTCGCCCGTCTCGGCTACTTGGAATGGCGACGTTTTATTGCCGTTACTGGTTTCCCTCGGTAGTATTTGGCCTTTTCTCCTGAATGACATCTGCTACATCACAAAGTGCAAGCAGGCTCACCTATGTTCATGGTCGCATAGAGTAGTAAAGAGGGAACCAATTTCACACAGCCGAGTTGAGATTTCACGGAGCAAAACGCGAACCACAATGTCTTGACTTTTTGAATTCATCTGCTAAACGCCTAGGTATTGTATGTATGCTTAAACTTCAAAGCAAAAACCCCTCGTCTACAACCTCTTCACAACTCATCGTGCACCTCCTCCTTGGGCGGAGGGGGTCCCTGGTGCTGCTCAAACTTCTTCAGAATCTCCTCCAGCTCCTCGTCGGTCGGCGCCTCGCCGTCACCGCCGTACTGGACGTAGCTGCCGCCACCAGGCAGCTCAACGGTGCGGCCAGCTGCTTCCGGCTCGGTGGCGGAGCTCTTGGCGGGGATGGTGGTGGTGGACTTCCCGTTGTCCGACTCGGTGGACGCGGTGGCGGTGTTGGTCGTCGAGGAAGAGGTGGCCGACTTGGTCTTGTTCTTGGCGGCGCTCTTGCTCGCCTTCTTGGACTTCTGCTCAAAGTGCTTGACGCCCTTCATGGCGAGATCCATGCCGGCCTTGTCGAGCTTATCGCGCTTAGCTTGGAGGTCCTTGACGAGGAGGACCGGGTCAGCGGTCGCGGCGAGGGCGTCCTGCTTCTCCTCCATCTGCTTAAGCCACTTGAGGGTGTCATCGTACAGATCCTCAACGACGTCAATGTCCTCACGCTTGTACAGAGGAGGGACGGGACCCTTCTCCTTGACGACATCTTCCATCTTGCGCTCCTTGTCCTCGTCATCCTCGAGGTCGTCAAAGTCGGCAGAGGGAGCGGGAGTCTCGGTGGAAGAAGGGGACGCAGCAGAGGCCGAGGCGTGCCACGCGTCATACTCGTCGATCTGCTTCTTGATGTTGCCGACGAAGGACTGGGTAGAGTTCAGCGCGTCCTTGAGAGCCTGGATAAGCTCGGGGCGCTTCGCGGCCTCCTCGCTCCTCTTCTGGATCTTGGAGACGGGGTCGTGGAGCTCCTTGTACTTCTTCTTGAGCTCATCCTTGGTGGCATCGGCGCCGTCCTCGTAGAGCCAGTCGCTGGCCTCGCTGTTCTTCTTCTCCAGGGTGGCACGCTCCTTTTCCGTGGAAACGGCAATGAAAGCCTCGTTCTCGAGGAGGTCACGGACCTTGTAAGTGAAGCCCTCGAGCTGGTTAAGGGCCTCCTCTCTCAGACGGCGAGCCTTGTCGGAAGCCTCAAATGCCTTGAGGCGATCCTTGGACTTGACCAGCTCATCGCGGGAGATCTCAGGACGGCCGGTCTTCTCGAGAGTGAAGTCGACGGAGATGACGACAAGCTCCTTCTTGGGGGCGGCCTCCTTTCCGTCAGCAGCCGCGTCACTGGGCACGGGAGAGGACGAGGCGGAGGTAGCGTCAGTCGCGGTGGAAGCGGTGGTGGAGGAAGACTCAGAAGAGGTAGACTCGGACTCAGCGCCATCCTCGCCGTCCATGACCTTCTGGTCCTTCTTGCCAAAACCGAACAGGTTCTTGACGCCGTCAACGAAGCCCTCCTTCTCGGGAGCGTCGGCCTCGCACTCAACAGTGGCCTTGGTCACCTCAACCTCGCCGTTCTCGCTGCTAAGCTTGACACCGACCTTGAAGTGGATGTCGCTGTCAACGCAGGAGTACTTCTCCTCGAGCTGCGCAACGGTGGCGGTGAGGTTCTTGGTAGTCAGAATCTTGGTGTCCTGCTCGGCAGAGTCGACCTGTTGGTAGAACGTGACGGAGAAGTCGTCGTGGTTGGTGAAGGTGACGTCCTTAGCGACACCGCCCTGGGGAGAGATGGGAGACCACAGACGCTGGTGCTGGAGCTTGTCCTTGGCGTTGGTCCACTTCATGCCGGAGGCAAAATTGGCACCCTCAGAGATGCGGATCTCCTTGACACGGAAGCTGGGGCTCAACTCAGCAGCGCGGAAGCCAGCGCCGAAGACGGCGGACTCGTCTGAGTTGACGTTGCTACGGATCTTCTCGGCAGAGCCAACGACAGTCTCCAGCTCCTTCTGGACGAAGGGCGTGCGGGAAGCACCACCGTGGAGAATGACTGAGGTGAGGTCGGAGAGCTCGAGCCCGGCCATCTTGAGGGCGTTCTGAACAACAGCACCAACACGAGCGGCGTGGCCCTCGGCCATCTTCTCAAAGTCGGCACGGCTGATCTTGTACTTGAAATCGACGTCCTCGTAGAGGCCCTCGAAGCTGGCGCCGGTCTGGGTGTTGGCGCTGAGGACGTGGCGCAAGCGCTCCGCTTCCTTGGTAAGCTTTGCGATGGCGCGGCCGTGAGTCTTGACCTTCTCAGACTGGGCAGAGACCTTCTGCGCGCCCTTGGACTCGACGAATTGAGAGACCATGTCGTCAATGATGAGAGAGTTCAGAGCGTCACCGCCCAGGGTCCTGTCCCAGCCGGAGCCCAGAACGGCAACCTCCTGAACGGTCTTGTTGTACTTGCCAACATCCTTGACGGTACGGCTCTGGAACTTCATGACAGTGGCCTTGGTGGAACCGGCGCCCATGTCGAAGACGAGGTGGTACTCGGGCTTCGCGCCCTCGTTGATGTTGGGGAACTGGCGAGAGGTAGCGTAGTTGAGGCCGACAGCTAGACCATCGCTGATGAGGCTGAGAACCTTGAGGCCGGCGAGGTCGGCAGCGGCCTGAATGGCGCGCTTCTCCTCAATGGTGAAGTAAGGAGGCACGGTGAGGACCATGGAGCGGACGGCGGTTCCGGCACCAGCAGCGACCTCGGCGTTCTTCTGGATCGCCTGAAGCTCCATGGCCAGCAACTCCTCGACCAGCCAGGCCTCCTCTTCCTCGGCGAAAGACTTGCTCTTGAACGCAGCTGTTCCTCGCTGCTTGTTTTTCTCGAGCTGCAGGGCGGGGTGTCGGGCAGCGTACTCCTGGACAATGGGGTGGTCGACAGTGAGACCGAGGATGGTCTTCAGGTTGGGGTAGACATCGTGGGGGAATCTGGCGGCGAGGGCGACGGCGTCGGAGCCGTAGAGTCTCTCGGGGAAGGATCCGGACTTGGGGCCGCTCGAGAGGGGCTTGAAGGTGACGGCGGAGATCTCTTTGCGGCGGGAGTCCTTGGTCAGGACAATGTCGAGAGGAATGCCAGGCTTGACCAAGGCGGCCTTGATGTACTCGGTACCAAGGTCAACACCCAGGACTGCGGAGACGGCAAAGACCTGGGCAGAAAAGAAGAAAACGCAGCCGAGGAGTATCCTCAACGGCGAGGGCATTCGTTGCGCCATTGTGTGGGTGGGTTGCGCCCAAGGGCGCTGCGTATACGGTTATTCGTAGAGACGGGTTCGGTTGGTGGTGCCTACAGGGACTGCTGGATAAGTCCCGGCGAGAGGCTTGGGAGACTCGACTGCGCGGTGGGTGTAGAGAACGAGACGTAAACAAAAACAAGAGCGAGACAAGAAAGGAAGGGGAGGTCTCGTCGCAGTTATGACCCAGAAGCAGAGAGGATATGGACAGCACGGAGGGTCGTCAAAAAAGAGACGTGAAGGTGTCCTCTACTGGATTCGCTGCGGTGCCATCCCCAGACTGGGTCCTGCTCGGCAAGGTTAGTGGTCCCCCTCGTGCTAATGGCTTACCTGTCCAGGCGAAGAGGACAGCTGTAAGAAAAAAAAAAGTTGTGGCGCAAACTCCCGGCAAGCTGCAAGGCTGACTGCCCGATAAGCACGCGATTGGCGCGATAAGCTTTAGGCCCGGGAGTTGGTGGTGGCTCCCCGGCGATGAGTGGGGCTCTTGGACTCGGTCAAGCCACAGTTAAGGGGCCGACGCCGAGCTTCCATCGCATAAGTCTATGTCAACAATGATGCTCTCACGGACGAGACATTACCTAAAGGTTACGTGACTGATGACACCATTCAAAGCGGTCAGTAGCCGCGGGCATTGAAAAACTCGTTATTGCACCTGTTTGCATTGTACTCGAGACGGGTTTCTCTTGGGTTCTTGCTGGCGGACCAGGGCAGCTGCAGAAGGTGGTCCGTACAAAGCCACATGGAAGCTTCGCGATTCTTGCTAGGAAGAACCCCGGACGCTGGGGCATGGGTTGAACTGCTCTGCCCATTACAGTTTGGGACGGCGGAGGTTCAGGGCCGTAATCCAGCCAAGACATTCGTTGTCAACCTGGCACTAACACAACCCCACTCACCATGCAAGTTTACGTGAAAACATGCAAATCATGGCTGACAAAATCAGTGGCAAAACCAGAACTTCCAGAGGGAGCTATTTTTGCGCATTTTCCAATATTTGCACTAACCGTTGCTTTTACTCTCTTGAGGACCAACGCCGAGATCTGAATTTGGCCAGCCACTATCTTTGACTTTCATTATTGGAGATCGCGGGGTAACAAAGCTGCAGTGGGGCAGCTAATGGCGGGGTCAAGATGCAGTCGCTGAGCTCACTGGAGAGCAAGTCCGTCACTTCACCAACTCCAGCTGTTCTCAACTTTGGCTTGGAAGCAAGCTTACGAAGAAAATACATCTGATTTTTTTTTTCAAAACTTGAATTCACATTGAGGTGCTCAAAGATCACCTAAACCTTCCCTCCTATCCCTTGCCTCGGTTCTACCCCACTATCCAGCATGGGGCTGGTTGACAACGAAGTCGAGGGCCGGCTTGCTCTCGTCACCGGCGCTTCTGGTGGGTAAGGAACTCCGTCAGTCCTTTTTTTACACAACCAAGTTCTGAGTGTGTGTAGAATTGGAGGTGCCTGCGCCAGAGAGCTCTTTGCCAACGGGGCGCACTTGGCCCTGACCTGTTCGTCTGAAGGTACCCGGAGCAAGCTCTCGGACCTTCAAAACGACCTCCGCTCAGAACAGACTAAGGACAGGCGAATCTCGTGTCATGTGGTCGACATGTCTTCATCCAAAGGCATCGAAAAGCTTTTTGCGCAAATCCTCGACGAGCACGGGCAACACCCCGACATCCTCGTCTCCAACGCTGGCACGGCTGGCTTCAACAACAAGGCAAACCCGCAACTGGAGAATATCTCTCTTGAAGAGTTCGACTTCACCTACTCCATCAACCTCCGCGCTTCATTCCTGCTCTGCAAACTCGCCATGCCCCATATGGCTGCGCAGCACTGGGGCCGCATCATCTTCGTGTCGTCCATCTCTGCCATTGGGGGCGGCATCAACGGCTGTCACTACGCTGCCAGCAAAGCCGGATTGACTGGGCTGATGAAGAACCTGGCTTCCAAGCATGCCAAGGACGGGGTCACGCTGAACGATGTAGCACCGGCCATGATTGGCGAGACGGGCATGATACCCGACGAGAAGCGCGTCGAGGGCACGCCGGGAGATGTGAAGAACATCCCCGTTGGCAGATTGGGAACCCCGCAGGAGTGCGCTAATGTCGTGATCATGCTGTGCAAGACTGGATACTTGACGGGCCAGAGTATCTTGCTGAGCGGCGGTCTGAAGTGAACTCAGCAGTCGGACTCTGCCATGCCCGCAGAGAATTTACGACGGCTCATTTTTCTATATTAATATCTCTAGTAATTTCCTTTCAGAACCCACGAGTCTGTGTGGCGAATGATAACTAACCGCACAGTCTGTCTGCCTTGTCAGATTCCAACATTTGAGTCGGACGTTGCCTTGAGATGCCGAGGACTTTTCAAACAAACTCGACAAGTGTTTGCTTCAGGACTTTCTTCTCAGCGCCTGTAGCTTGAAACGTCTCACCGTACATCATTCCATGAATATAGCATGACCCAAGGATGTGGTACTTCTTTTGATCCCCCACGACTGGCCTGATTATCAGAGGCGGTTGAACAGTGGGAACAACACAAATCAAGTCGCCGGGTTGAATCAGAGGTGTCCCCGTCCCGCTAAATCATATGGCTTCAGTGTCAGTGGTACTCGGATGTACAGACACACTCAAATTTCAACTATCCCAGTAAATGATCAGATCACGTACCAGAAGCCACCCTTGGTTGTGAAGAATCGATCACCATTGCAGCATCTCACAGCCCGCTCCACAAACGAAACGGTCCGCGGATCTGCCGCAGAGTTCCACGTCCGGAGCCAGCTTTTCCGATTGAGGTAGTCGTATATGAGTGGGCATTTCGCCCGGCAATGCTCCTCAAAGCTGCGAGCAATTGCTCCGCTTCTCGGAAGCTTGCTCTCAGTTTGTACGGCATGTAAGAGTGTGCAAGCAAAGGCAAGGGCTTTGTCGGGATACGTCAGTCCAACGTCCACCTCCGTCTTCTCCAAGATCCCCCAATACTCCTGTATGATGCTCGGCTCTTGGGAGAGAAGAGACCTTGCAAGGTCCACGCTGATCTTGACGTCCTCTGCCGAATTGTCGTCTTCCTCGGTACGCTCTCTTCCAATCACCGTCCCGCATATCTCACCACAGAGATGAATGCTGTCAAGGATGTATGCGTAAACCTGAAGAGATGAGCCCTGTACACCAGATCCTCTTGATGTCTGTTCCGCGCCCCAAGAAGCGTCATATCTGTTGTTTATTGTCCAGTGTCGTCGGCTGTTCAACCGAGGGCACCACGAGGGCCCCTCAATCAGGTCTTTAGGAAACCGATGCCAAATAAGGCCTAGAAACCGCAGGGAACGGGAGCTCATCTGCGAGAAGAGGCAAAACTTCAGCTCTGGCAACGTCCTGGTATAATCAGCCTCGATCAAAAGCTCCCCATCGCCCGACCTCGCACGCGGATGCCCGAGGAAGGCAAATACGAGATCCCTCTTATCCGTAGCCCGCTGCCCGCCCCTCGCGCGGAAAAGCACATCCTCGAGTTCCAACACGCCGCCATCCTTCTGCAGCCGCGCAATCCTCTTCAGAATGTGCGAGGACGAGTACCACGACCTCTCAACGTCCTCCGTGAACGTCGCCCAGACGAACCGGAACAGGCTGATGATGTGGCCCGCCTTGAAAACAAGACCGCGCGTGATCTGGTTATTCCGCACCCACGCCGCAACGAAGTCCAGGACCTCGGTGAAGTCCACCGTCGACCTGCCGTACGCGAGCAGCGCGCGCCGGGCGAGCCCGACCTCCTGGAGCACCCAGACGCGCTCGAACCAGGGGCGGTTCAGCATGTCCACGGCGCTCTGCAGCCGCGCCCGCGTGACGGGGCCGTAGCTGCCGTCCGGGGGCGCCCATCGCTTGATGGTGTGCGGCGATATTTCAAAGTGCCGCATGTGCTTTGCGGCGACGAGGTTGAAATCGCGGATGACGCTGAACGCTTCTTCTGCGGCGCGGCCGTTTTGGTCGTCGTCGCCGAAGCAGATGAGGACTTGTTGGGCCTGGGAGTAGATTTCGCCCATGATGTTGACTTGGGAGCTCTTCTCGAACTTGTCATGCTGGTTCATGCAGAGGGCGTCGACCCAGAGTTGACGTTGCTTGGTGGGGTGTCTGACTTGGCGAAGGGCTTGGAAGAGGTTCGTAGTGACGGCGACTGAGACTCCATGGCAGGTTATAGTCTGGACCTCATCGAGGTTTCCCCAGACGTAAGAAATTGCTTCATAAGGCTCTGTCGAAGCGACTGGTTAGCGAACTTGGTTTCATGCATGGCCATACTCCGCATCATTCTGGATGATCACCTGTGTCGTAGAATGCTACGGAGCGTAAAGAGCACTTTATGGGGTCCTCGAAAGTTCCCGGTTCAAGAATCAAGATTCGAGTCCATTTTCCAGGTGGCAGAGGCTCGTAACACAAGAGTGTGCCCATGGCCTCAGCCATCTTGTGCAGAGGAGACTTGGCAATCGCGAAGACGCCGGTTCGAGGAGGTGCTTAGCCTATTCTGGCCATGAGACGAGATCTCACTTGTAGTTGGTAGAACTGCATGAAACTAGGGCCCACGCTGCAGGGGCATTGCACCCTATCAAGACACATCTAACAGTTCTCTCACCCACAGCTGCAGTTGTCTCATAGATCCTCGATTGAATTGCGCCATACTGCGAGATCTCTGCAAGTAGGTAGATGTTGGATCCGAAAGAAAACAAAACGACTTTTTCTATACTTTTGTTGAAAGGACGAAGCACTGTGATATTTGGGCACTCAAACAGCCTAAAACTTGAATAAATAATGCGAATTGTCAAGTTTCGTGTACGTCCTGCTAGACAGAGAGAGAGGGGGGAAGGGGACTGAGATACCAGAGAGGGGACAGTATGAGTTCTAATACCGACAGATGTTTTTGCTAAACTCATCTGACTAACATGCATCGCCTCGGAAATCGTAGCCGTAGCGGCACATGAAAAGTAAGCGGTCTCAAGATCGTCAACATCGGCACGATCAAACTTGTCTGAGCGGCTTACTCAACGCGGGGTTGCAGAAGCCGCGGTCAAAGGCATGCACCAGCATTATTAATCTCACTGCTCTGATCCAACGTCGAATTGCCTCATTCACATGTCTGTATCCAAATAGGTGGCTAGTTGACAACAACCTGCAAAGGGGCATGAAACCCGTAAAAGATAATTCATAACCTTGTTTTAATTCAACAACACATCCAGTGCAGATACAACCATGCCTCTCTACGAAGTCGCCCACGCAACTCCTTTGAGTCAACCTCAGCAAGACGCCCTCGCCGAAGCAATCACCGAACTCCATAGCAAAAGATTCACCGTCCCGCGCATGTTCATCAATGTCATCTTCGTAGACACCTCAAACACGCCGACATACGTTGGCGGCAAACGGGTTTGTTAGCACCTTTGGTACCTCAACCCGAACAGCACTAACACAATAGCATAGCGTCATTCGAACCGCATCACAGGCCGCACTCGCAAGGGCTCGCGCACTCGAGAGGATTTCAATGCCCTCTGCGGGGAGATCCGCGCTGCGTGGGCACGCATAGTTCACCCAGACGTCACAGATGGAAAGCTGCCGCCACCAGAGCTTGAGCTGAGAGCCGTCTTCATCACAGGGGAGCTCATTGCGGGTATGAAGGCCAGTTTCATGACTCCGGCCGCCGGAGAGGAGCTTGCGTGGGCCAAAGAGAGCTACCATGCATTCGAAGAGAGGGCGCATGCGGGAGACGAGGATTTTGTGGATTTGGTTGCTGAGCTTCGGACGTGGCCTGGGTTTGATGTTGCGCGCTGACGAGGTTGTATCGAATGATAAATTGCTCAAGACAGGACGTTCTCTCGTTAAGTTCGTTCAATTATGATTATGGCTGATAGCCTCTGGTAACTGGTCTACTATATGAGGCATACGCCATACTTTCTTTCTTGAATCTTCTCTCATGCCAGCGTCAAGGGCGCGTCTTCGTTCATCAGTTTCATTCGGTTGGTGATCTGAAACTCTGTGGATTAGATCCATGGGTGAGTCCGCAGTGATTCAGCTTGAAGATGTCAGATGATTTCGAAAGGCAATGTCCCAGATCTTGGATCGAGACGTACCCTAACAGACTAATGTCCGCGTATCGGTATCATCCGACACCAGTTGCTCCCTGGCTTCATTCCTTAGAAGGACGTTTGCAACGCCCAATTTGTGAGGCGTTTATTTTCATGGCGGTCATACCGTTCTTCCTTGCCGCGGGGTATTCGCCTTTTCGGCAAGCTTAGTAACAATCACCAGTCGTTCCGATGAGGCCAATCTTCCTTAGAGTCTTCTGTCTCGTCGACAACTTTCCGCGGCCACTCAGGACATATGTCGATCTTATCTCGCGGGAACCAAAGCTCCAGAAGAAGAAAGAGGAGGTAGTCGATGATACAGACGAGGCAAAAGAGTTTGCCAGCCCAGATACCACAACCGTAGTACCGCTTCAACCGATCGATGAGCGCGAATGAACGCACTCGACTGGCGCCGTTGGCAGCGTCAACACCGTAGAACTCGGCCTCGCTCAACTCTCCAGAGATACCGTGGTAAACTCGCTCTGTTCGAAGGGCTACATTCGTCCAAGAATACATCTTTTGGACTTGCTCGTGGAAACGCTCCGTCCGCACCTTATTGGCCCTCAGAGCAGCAATAGCCTTTCCGGTCGCGAAAACGAGGTCTTCTTCCTCTGGTTTTGCGAACACGGTCATATGTGATGGTAGCACCTCGGGGATGCCTCCGACTTGGGTGCACACGACATACAAGCCGCAGCTGGCTGCTTCAACAATGACGGTTCCGAAGGCTTCAGTCAAGCTGGGGTGTAGGTAGATGTGGCCGCGAACCATGACGTCCCGCACCTCTTCGTGGCGGATAGGCCCTAGCATCTCTACCCTGTCTTGTAAGACATTCTGCTCAATCATCTGCTCAAGGTCAATGGCCTTGGGGCCAGAGCCGGCAATGATGAACCTCGTGTTGGGGTGGTTTTGAAGAATACTGGGGATGGCGGCAGTCAAAAGATCTGTTCCCTTATTGTAGAATAGACGAGATATGACTACAATAGTGATCATATCATTCGGGCCCAGATGATGAGCTGGGGGTGGGTTTTGCCCGAAGGACTGTCCGGTCTCGGTGGATGGGTAGTCGAGGGGGCGAAAGTTCTCGGCGACGACGGCATTCGGGATGACTGAGACCATCAGAGGGTCAAGTGATGCTCGCAGAACAGTGTTTTCCTTGCTGCGTCACTGAATTAGCTTGGGTGTGGGAGAAGTGCTACGCGGCGCAAACATACCAGGTGTGGCTGACGCAGACGACGTGGTCCACGTCGCTGAGGGAGAACTTGAGGATTTTGTTCGTCAGGATGCTGGTAGCATCCGCAAAGCCAAACAGCGAGTGATCTGTGAAGACGGTACGCAGACCCATGGTCCTACCATGGAGAATGGCCTCATGACACAAAGTACTCAAGCTCGCATGGCCGTGGACAATCTCGATCTGCTCTCGGATGAGGATGTTGCGCAGGATAGGGAAGGCCGAGAAGACGGTCGGGAAGGTCGCGGATCGGAAGACGACGAAGAAAGGGACATGATAGACTCTAATTCCATTGGTCAAGTTGCGCACGCCGCTGCGGCCCTCGTATGAGTGGGTTATGATGATGACTTTGTGTCCGCGATCGATCAGCTTGGTCGACAGCTGGTAGATGTGACTTTCGACTCCTCCTGGCTGCGGAAAGAAGAAGTCGCTGACCATGGCAATGTTGTATGTTCGAGCCATGCTGATCAGCTAGTGCTCGGCGTGAGCATCTGTCACCTCCAGAGATATTGACGGTGCATTGTACGCGACCAGATCGCGCATCCGTCGTCGCATTCGCGAGTGGTGCAGTAGGGAGGCATCTTAATGACCTGCTAAGCCATTACCCCCCCTACTGACGTTAAGCTCTAGCGTGGGTAGGGGGCATCTGCTTCATTGCGATAAGAAGTTTCGGGCAGGTGGTATGAGGCGGCAAAATCGCGATAAGCAACTGCTCCCAACTTTTTTTCGAGACTTTGCGCCAGGTGCCCCTCCGACTTGACTTTGTAGCCAAGCTGCGCAAACCTCCAAATTGGTCCGCAGAGGTTCGCGAAGGCGCAATTAACAAGATGTACGCCCGTTACGTGCCTCCAAAGAAAAATGCGGCTGCAGCACCTCCCGTGGCGGCGCCGCCTCCGCCGCGCGAACCAACACCTCCTGCTCCAGAACCAGCACCCGCGATGAACGACGCAGTCAGGACGGGAGAGAACACCGCCAGCCCGTATGCACGATATGTTCCCTCAAAGAAGCCGAAGTTGCGACCTTCGATTGTTAGTGTAGCTCCGGAGGACGCGGAAGCTTTGTCTCCTGCGATGAAGCGCAAGCACGAAGTCGAGGTCGAGGCCGAGGTCGAGCAGGAGACGCCAGCCAAGAAGAAGAAATCCAGAAAGTCGGAAGAAGTAGCGCCGTTGGACGACATGGATGTGGACACGCCGAAGAAGTCCAAGAAAGAAAAGAAAGAGAAGAAGGAGAAAAAGAACAAGAAAGACGATTCAGAGGAGCCACAAGTTGACGCCATGGATACCCACGCAGACGACGAGGCCGGTGAAGGAGAGGAGGCGGGGGAGAAGAAGAAGAAAAAGAAGAAGAGGGATTCGGAAAATGCGGATGGACGCGATGACGACGAATTAAAGGAAAAGAAGGACAAGTCTAGAAAGAAGAAGAGGAAAGACGAAGAGATCACCGAGGAAGACGACGCCGTTGCAGCGCGACACAAGAGCGTTCTGTCCAAGGCATCCAAGTACCTCAAAAAGGCCGCCGACGGTTCCCACGACGAAGACCCGGAGAAGATGGAAGTGGACGAGGAAGGAAAGGAAGAGACGCCAGAGGTGGAAGAACACGGCCTCGAACCCCTGCCGCAACCCGAGCCCGCTGCTCTCGATACCTCGAAACCCTCCTACGAGACGCTGCCACCCTGGCTCGCTGCACCCATCCGAGTGGCGCCTGACACACGGACGCCGTTCTCTGAGATTGGCATCAACCCGAAAGCAGCTCAGATCTTGGAATCGAAGGGATTCAAGGATGCCTTTGCCGTCCAGACCGCCGCGGTTCCGCTACTTCTACCGTCTTGCAAGCACCGTCAAGGCGATCTCCTCGTCGCGGCTGCAACTGGTTCCGGAAAGACGCTGGCATACGCTCTTCCCATTGTGCGGGACATCAGCCAAGGTGCTGTCACGAGGCTCCGCGCTCTTATTGTCTTGCCGACGCGTGAGCTTGTCAAGCAGGCGCAGGAGGTTTTTGAGCTGTGCGCCGGCGCATTCGATGGTCGTGACCAGAAGAGAGTGCGCATAGGAATCGCCATTGGTAGTCAGCAGCTCAAGTACGAGCAAACAAATCTCATCGAGAGGGAAGAAAAGTACGACCCTGAGGCCTACCAAGCTGCGAACCAGCGGGAGCTCGAGGCGTGGAAGGATGTTGAGGAGGTAGACCCTGAGACCGAAGATTCCACGAGCAGAGTGGAAGCTGGCTCGTTGCCTGATCACATCGTAGACTACACCTCCAAGGTTGACGTTCTGATCTGCACTCCCGGTAGACTGGTCGAACACATCAATCTTACTCCAGGATTCTCCCTGGACTACGTGCGTTGGCTGGTAGTCGACGAAGCCGATAAGCTCCTGGCGCAGAGTTTCCAGGGCTGGCTGGACGTCGTCATGCCCAAGCTGCGGACGAAGAAGTTGAGCGCAAGAGACTTCCCCGACTCCAACCTCTCTGGTGTGCGCAAGGTTGTTCTGAGTGCAACACTTACGCGAGACTTGAGCCTGCTAAGCGGGCTGCAGCTTCGCCGTCCTCAGCTCATTGTCCTGGAGGGCGAGAAGGCGGATGGCACTGCACCAATCGCCGAGCACACTCTGCCCACGCTACTGAAGGAGTCTGCCATCAGAGTCCATGATGCCAACCTCAAGCCTCTGTACCTTATCGATCTGCTACTGGGCGGGCATCTGATGTCCGAAGCCAGCTCTAAGGCGGAGACCACTCCTACAGCAGAAGACGACGACGACACGTCTTCCTCGGACGGGTCCGACGACACCTCATCAGACACTTCTTCAGAGGCAGATTCGGACACCAGCTCAGAGTCAGACTCCGACACTTCCTCAGACTCAGACAGTTCCTCAGACGCCAACCCCACACCCTCCAAGCCTCCGAGAAAAACACCCGCAGCCTTCACAACGACGGCCCTAATCTTCACAAAATCAAACGAGTCCGCTCTCCGTCTCTCCCGCCTAATCTCCCTCCTCCACCCTTCCCTCTCGCCCTTCATCGCAACCCTCACCTCGACCCAAAAGACGTCCGACCGTCGCCGCGCCCTCCGCGCCTTCGCCTCGCGCCGCTTGCGCCTGCTGGTCGCATCCGACCTGGTCGCCCGCGGTATCGATCTGCCACAGCTGGACAACGTCATCAACTACGACCTGCCCGCCAGCGCCGCCGGCTACGTTCACCGTGTCGGCCGTACAGCCCGTGCGGGACGCGTCGGCGCGGCGTGGACTCTGGTCGAGGACGGCGAGAGCGGTTGGTTCTGGGGCAAGATTGCAAAGCCGAGCAGCGGGATCCGGCGCGCGGCAAAGGTCGATCGCTTGCGCATCGGCGACCCGGAGAGCGGTGGGTTCGCGGACGAGAGGGTACAGGAGTACGAGGATGCGCTGGAGACGTTGGGCAAGGAGGCCGGCGAGGCTAGGAGGCACAGGTAGTGCATTTGTTGTAGAATTTGATAATAATACCATTTCCAAGCGTTTTGAAAATCCATGTGCCTTTATTTCTGTACTGCGATCACATACTACACGTGCTTTTGAACTCGCTTTCATTTCAGATGGTTTCTATATCGATGTTTCACTTTAGCCGACATCTATCTAATCAAACACTTCAAACGGCTCGAATAGACAGGGGGTCTTGTCACAATATAGCACGCAAATCAAGCTCCATCTCACAGACCTACCATGGAATCTCCCTCCCATCATACAAAAACAACTTGCCGCTATCCTCCACCCCCAACCCACCCAGCAACTTCAAAATCCCCCGAGCACAATCCGCAACCTCGACCTTCGCCCCAGGACCCCCCGACTTCGTCTTGACGTGCCCGGGATCGACCGCAACCACAACCACGCCCCGCTCCTTCAGCTGCATCGCCTGGTGCACCGTCAGCATGTTCAGCGCCGCCTTGCTGATGGCGTACGGCGTCAGCTCATGCGGGCACACGCCGCTGGTCACCCACCCGAAGCTGCCGGCCCCGGACGTGATGTTCGCCACGACCGTCCTTCTGTCTTGCTGCTCGCTGTCGTGGAAGAACGGGAACAGCACCTGCAACGTCCGCGCGGGCCCGACGACGTTGGTGGTCATGTGCGTCTGCAGCGCCGCGGCTTCGAGGCTCAGCGCCCTCTGCTCGGTGTTCTGCAGCGTCGCGGCGTTGTTGATGAGCACGTCGATCTTGTTGGGGCCATCGCCCAGCGCGGCGGAGACGCGAGAGGGCAGGGCGGCGAGGGATTCTGGCGAGGAGATGTCGCATTCGAGGACGTGGACGGTGTCTTTGCGGTCGGGAGAGGCTTGAATGGCGCGGAGGCGGGCGAGGTCGGCGGCCAGGGAGCGGACGAGGGCAAGGACCGTGGTGGCGGGGCGGAGGCTTAGCTGGGCGACGTATTCGAGGCCGATGCCGTCTCTTGCGCCGGTGATTACGTATGTGGGCATGGCTTGATGCAAGATGTTTCTGACTTGGGCTTTGGGTTTGAGGCTTGGGTTGCACGGTGATGTTGCCAAGGCTGTGGAGGATAGGAGGTAGGCTTTTATGGTGAGCGTGGCTGATTATTTTCGTGGTGTTTTTGATTTCAAATGTAAAGATGCTATCCAATGACGGATGTTACATGTGTAGTCTGAATTGGACGCGGATTTCATATTCCTGTTGCTCTCCGTAAGCTGTCTTCGCATTGCGCTTGGAGGCTGCACGAAGATGACGCTTGGTGGGAGAACATCACCATGAGGTGGATTGGTAATGCGTAAGCATCTTCAGCGGCATGGTAAATAGCCTAAATGCCGTTTGGAAGAGGGGATTCGGCAAGCGGTATACCATTGGAGAGATGACAATGTAAGCACGCGACATGCGGCTCGGACTGAATTGCGATGGAATTATGCCTGTCAGGCGCCGGAGCTTTCACCTTCTTGACTCTCACCTGCATTGTTCACTTATTCTTCATACTCATTCGGCTCTTTCGGTGTCATCAAGAGTAATCTTGCCAGATCTACTGTGCTGGTCGAAGGCGTCACCCTAGTTAGCATGACCGGTCTTGCTGGAAACCCGGCACCTGCAATGTAGGCCCCGGCGTGTGCACGGTGTCCGGGTCCGTAAATGCGGGTCCTTCCGGTCGGAACGGAGTCGGATGTTGATATGCGCGGGCCGGATCAGCTTGTTCCGCTTCTCAGCCCAAGGGTTAAGCCGATGAGGCCATCTCGTAAACGAGTGTTCACGAGCTTCTTCCTTTTGGCACCTTGTGCACGGTCTCACGACGCCTCGAAGCTAGATCTTACCCCTTTCTCTCCCTCCTACTTCAGGATCGTACCCAAGCTATCAAAGCAAGGGAGCGGCAATAATTTTTTTGGATCCATTTGCCTTCGTATATCGTTTGCCTCTTTCAACGCTATGCGTGGCGGCACAGCCTCCAACGACTCCAAAGCCAAGACTCAGCTAGGAGTCGGCAAAGCTGCCAGCCGGGCAACATTATGGATAGGCACATTAAGACCCTTCCTTTGTGTTGGCGGTGTTTGTCCGGTACTTGGGCAGAGTCGGTCTGGCATCGCTTGGCGCGGGCGGCGAAAGCGTTGGCAGAGGGAGGCACAGAGGCGGTTGGGGTCCCTTAGCTTGGCCGGGGTTGGATGGCTGGAAAGGCAGACCGCCACAAGCCACAGGGTTCACAACCATCGAAAATGAGCATCAGACTTCAAGATCTTTGAGTTTGAGGGGGAGCTGGAGTTGGAGGTGTTGGTCGGTAGTGTCTTCCGAGTTCAAGGTTAGATTTCAGCCTGACGTCAGAGAGGTTACCCCTGCGATTTGGAAGGCAGAGTTTTCCTGAGGGTTTGACAGGCGCAACAGGCTATCAAACACAGCTTCATTTTAAAAGCGTCTTGGCAAACAGCATTATCGTAGCTGGCAGCGCCAGCATCGCGATGTGGGAGGGCACGTGTGAATGCTCTGTTGTTTGGATGGGTGCCCTGCCAAGATGCTGTATTCGCTGAAACTCTGCCTCCCCTCTCGCTTCAGGTAATCCGTGAGTTTGGCGGCCTGTTTTGTGGTAGTGCAGGTGTTAGGTGCACCACACCCAGCATGTGTTTCTGTGTGATTTGTGTGATTTGAATGATGTCAAACTTGGTCTTGGCAGGCGGTGTGTTGTGCAAAGAAACAACGCAAGGAAAAAACAACAAATCGGAGGTGACGGGGATAATCAGTGAGACGACCAAGGGTGGCAGTGCAAGAAGATTGTCCGTCCGCCGGGCGATTTTGTTGCATCGTCATTCAACAGTATGCGTAGAATGGATGTCCATCCATCCCTCTCTCCGGGGCGGCAGTTGCCATCGACCTGACGGGTGGAACCATCAGGCCTGCTTCCCGCCTTTTCTTTTTGGCTTTTGGAGGTGAAGTTCCGGTTGGGTGCAGCTGGTCGGTGACGATGGCAGGTTCCAGGGATGTCGCCGACTCCGCGGATCGTTGGTGTGGACTGGGCCCAGCACCAGTTGGCGGCGCTGAGTTCAGCATCTGGGCCTTTCTGGCGCATCTCTCGAATGCCAATGCTTCTCCAGTTTCAAGAAGGATGAGTGATTTTGATGATCCAATGACGGTGTTGGACGGAGGACGGAGAGTTCTGGCAAGATCAGACCAGGTCCAGGTCGTGGCGGATGCTGGGATGGCATGGCTGCTCAGTGGAAGCTAGATCATCAAGCTCTCGCCTCACCTCAACCGCTGGCCATGTGCGGGACAGCATGTACCGCTGCATCGGAAGAAAGGGTGCTGGGTAGCATGGCGGCAACGTGGGGACGGACGGGCATGCGGATCCCTTTCGCGGGAGGCCGGTGTGATGGCCTGTTGATGTGAGGGTGATGTGTGTTGGGTAATTCGGGTTTCAATGTTTCTCGCGCTTGCGCTTTCTCAAATCTTTGCAGAAACCTCCGGACTCTGACTCTGACTCTGCAGAGCACTGAACGACATGGCAAGAGCTAACCTCGGGGCTTTGCTGCCAAGGGCCGGACTGTGGCTCATGTTTGCGGTCGGCGGCCTCTTTCGCCAATGTCTCGGCGAGCGGCTCGTTGTTTCTCGCGAAAGCCCATCAGTCCACTCACTTACTGCCTGCCCTGATGCCCAGAGCTTCGCTTCGGGTGCTCCAAGCTCCCGTCCCGTCCTGCTTCCATTGCTACTGCTCTAGTCTGCTGTGTCTGCCATCTTATCGCTTTATCTAAGCATCCGAGGCATTACATGGAAGGTGGGTGTCATTTTGGCTGCAGCTTGGCGTCACTCTGCCGAGGAAAACAACAAGGAAAAGTTGTAATAGCTAGTAGCTTGCCAGAACACTTTGTACGCATGAGAAAAAGACTTCCTCTGAATACTGACCCAACCTGGCTTAGAGGCCGCTGCAAGGCAGCACGAGCCAGCCATCTAACTCGAAAGATGAGTTTGAATCATTTTTTAATTCCACGGTGGCTTGGCGCCCCCTTTCGTGTGTTTTGTCGTCAAGTCATGTATGAGCAGCGCATTTCTCGCTACAATTACCTGGGTCCATGATCCATCATGATTGATTGATCGCTTCTCTCCCGTCCCTCCCCTGCCAGCACGCCGATGAGCGCTTCTTGGCATCATCACCTGGCCAAGCCGTCGCTCAGCAGCCAGAGGTTCCTCTGCAGCTTTACGTATAAGGCGCCAGTGAGCTTCCTTGGCAGCTCCAAAAGCATGGTGGCTACTTTCTGGGGCTGTGCCTAATGAGCCAAGCCAGCCCAATGGATGACCCAGCCAGTTGATATGTCATCACCCGAGCCAGACTTGAGGAGTGCGAGAAGTGGGCGCCGGATGCATGTTGTGGCCCAGCAGCCGAATCTCTCTTCCTCCCAAAAGTCCTTCTCCTCTCCGTCAACTCCCTACCCAGGTAGTCTCTGAAAACCGTGTGGTCTTGTTACCTGACCTGCCTGACCTGATTGCTGTCTTTTGGCAGGTGCTTGTTGCCATCGTTGCTACCATCTCCTGTTACTGCACATCCATCGGCGCCTTCCAGTAACACCTTCTGGAATAACATCATTCACCCACGTCACCGACCTGCCTTGGGTTGCTATCGTGACTTTTGTACCGCCTCGCCAGTGGGCTGTTCATCGAAACTGCCGCCGGCTCCTTCTCGTTTTCGGAACCTCAGCTCCCAACCTTACACTACACGCCTTCACCTTGTCAGTTTGCGCCAGATAATTACCGCCAGGTACCGGTCTTAAGAAGGTTTGCAAAGCCACCACACCTTCGATATTGACCCATCAAACGGCCCGCTCCCCAGATTTTTGTCCCTCGACAAAATACGGATCACCGCTAAAGCGTCACCCGCCACTTATTCACAGCAAGCGGTCTCCCTGGACCGTCAGACAACTCCATTTGAATACCACTTGGTCTCCCTTCTCCCTCGCATAACGCCCCCAAAGCATGGACGCTGAGAGACCGGAATACCCTCTTCGATTTTCCAGAAGCACTGGCTCTGTTTGATTGCTCACTAGCTCACCAACTTCGCCCGTCTTACATACATCACCTTCCGGCTTTGTTTGCGCGCGACCACATCCACCGTTCACCTGCGGCCATCCTTTCACCAAGTGTCCGAAAACGAACGCCGAGACTTCCACGCCAACAAAAACAAAAGAGACAACAATTTTTTTTTTCCTTTCCTCATTCATGCTGAGCTCCATCACCTCTGCAGCGATCACACGAGGAAAGCAGGAAGACGAGGCATAAACCACCAGCATCATGGCAAGAGGCCCCTCGCCGCTGAGGCGGCCTAGAGCGCCTACCATCACACTCGATACCTCCGCCGTCAACGATCAAGGTATGACGCCATGTCGCATTCCACCCCTGGATCGCTCTCCGAAAGAAACCAAAAAAAAAAGTTCGCGTCCTGGGTGTAAATACTAATGAACGCGTCGACATGCAGAAAACGACCACTCATCATCATCACCGTCCTCAGACCACGGCGATGAAGTGAACAACACGTTATCAGTGCCCACAAGAAAGTCACGCTCAGGATCATGGGACTCCAATAACACGACATTGGCCAAATCTAAAACAAACGACGGCACCGACAAGGGATCCCCCACCGTCCAGCTCTCCGGCTCGCCGAAAGGTTTCGGGGATAACCCAGACGCCCTGGCCCCGAATCCCGGCGAGGAGGCATCATTCAACGTCCAAAACAACCCATTTGCCTTTTCGCCTGGCCAAGTATCAAAGCTAATTAACCCGAAAAGTTTAGACGCGTTTGTCGCCGTTGGAGGTTTGGCTGGCTTGGAGAAGGGTTTACGGACGGACAGACGCGCCGGTCTGAGTTTGGACGAATCGCGCCTCGACGGCAGCGTCAGTTTCGATGAGGCAGTTGCCCTTGGAAAGAAGATCCAGTCGCCGACGGAAGCAGTATCGACGGACGCACTGCAACAAGATGCAGTTCACCACGGAGATGGCTCAGGCAAGGGGTTTGACGACCGCAAGCGAGTGTTTGGACAAAACATTCTGCCCGAGAGGAAGTCAAAGTCACTGCTACAGCTCGCCTGGATTGCTTTGCAAGACAAGGTGTTGATTTTGCTCAGCGTGGCAGCTGTGGTCTCACTCGCACTAGGACTGTACCAAACATTCGGAGCCACCCACCATGGCGACGACACGGCCAAGTTGGAATGGGTGCGCTGACCCTGGTGATATGATCATTGAATGCAGAGCTAACAGAAGCGTCAGGTCGAAGGTGTTGCAATTATCGTCGCCATCACCATCGTTGTCGTCGTAGGATCTCTCAACGACTGGCAAAAAGAGCGCCAGTTCCGCAAACTCAACCAGAAGAAGGAGGATCGTGTGGTGAAGGTGATTCGTTCAGGGAACCCGTCCAACATCTCGGTTCACGACATTCTGGTTGGCGATGTCATGCTCCTTGAACAAGGAGATATCCTTCCTGTTGACGGTATCTTCATCGGTGGCCACAATGTTAGCTGCGACGAGTCTTCGGCAACTGGCGAATCGGACCTGATCAAGAAGGTCCCTGCAGATGCTGTAATGAAGGCTCTGCACGAAGAGGAAGTGAACCCCAAGAAGCTTGACCCTTTCATTATTTCTGGAGCTCGAGTCTTGGATGGCGTTGGAACGTTCTTGGTTACGGCAGTCGGCGAGAACTCAAGCCACGGCAAGACAATGATGTCCCTTCGCGACGATCCTGGCCTGACTCCCCTGCAGCTCAAGCTGAACATTCTTGCGGGTAAGTGGCCTCGCGGCTCGGTGCCCATCTACTTATTAAGACTCTCTCAGGCTATATTGCGAAGCTTGGCAGTGGTGCGGGTTTGCTGCTCCTGCTCGTTCTTACTATCGAGTTCCTGGCCCACCTTCCCCAGAACAGCGACAGCCCGGAAATGAAGGGCCAGCGATTCCTCCAGATTCTCATTACGTCCATCACAATCATCGTTGTTGCAGTTCCTGAGGGTCTCCCTCTGGCTGTCACCCTCGCCCTTGCCTATGCCACGAAGCGAATGACGAAGGAGAACAACCTCGTCCGTCACCTTCAGTCCTGCGAGACCATGGGCAATGCGACAGTCATCTGCTCCGACAAGACTGGCACGTTGACAGAGAATGTCATGACTGTTGTGGCCGGCACATTGGGTACCGGAAAGCTCAAGTTTGGAGAAGGAGACGAGCAATCCAACTCACCCGAGGCTGAGTCCGCCGAGGGCCAGGAGCAAGCGCAGGTTACCAGAGACGACAAGAAGCCTGAGAGCAAGTCTACGGCCAGAATCCCCATGTCCAAGCTTTCTTCCTCCCTCGACCCCGAATTCAAGGATCTTGTTAAGCAGTCTGTGGCGATGAACACGACCGCATTTGAGACGGAGGAAAACGGCAAGCATGAGTTTGTAGGAACGAAGACGGAAACCGCCCTGCTCGACTGGGCTCGCAAATGCTTCGCCCTCGAGAAGCTTGCCATCGAACGCGAAAACCATCCTGTGCAGCAGCTGTTCCCCTTTAACTCCAAGCGAAAGTGTATGGGTGCCGTCGTGCGCCTGCCGGACAACAGATATCGCATGTTTATCAAAGGAGCACCCGAGATCCTTCTAGGACAATGCACACACGCTGTTGCCGACCCGACGCAAGCCCCATCCTCAACTGCGATGGAAACGCACCAACAAGACGAGATCCGACGCACCATATCGGAATATGCATCCCGATCGCTCCGCACACTCGCCCTTGCCTACCGAGACTTCGACCAATGGCCACCGAAAGACGCTCGGAAAGAAGAAGATTCGCAGAACATCGAGTTCTCCAGCATCTTCAAGAACCTCACCTGGCTGGGTGTTGTTGGTATTCAGGACCCTGTTCGAGCTGGTGTTCCAAAGGCTGTGGGTGATTGCCGTATCGCTTCCGTGTCCGTCAAGATGGTCACTGGTGACAACGTGGAGACTGCGAGGGCCATTGCGCGGGACTGTGGTATCTTGACTGAGAAGGGCAAGGTCATGGAAGGAGTCGAATTCCGCCGCATGGAAGACCGAGAACGTACTGCGATTGTGAGAGACCTTGCCGTCCTAGCCCGATCGAGCCCCGAGGACAAGAAGATTTTAGTCAAGGCTCTGAGGAGTCTCGGCGAGGTCGTTGCAGTCACCGGCGATGGAACCAATGACGCCCCTGCTCTCAAGTCCGCTGATGTTGGTTTCTCCATGGGTATCACCGGAACTGAGGTCGCCAAGGAGGCTTCAGACATCATCCTCATGGACGACAACTTCTCGTCCATCGTCAAAGCCCTCTCCTGGGGTCGTGCAATCAACGACGCCGTCAAAAAATTCCTGCAGTTCCAGATTACCGTCAACATCACAGCTGTGGTCCTGACCTTTGTCACAGCTGTGGGTGACGCAGAGCAGGAACCAGTTCTGAATGCCGTTCAACTTCTTTGGATCAACCTCATCATGGATACCTTCGCTGCCCTTGCTCTGGCCACCGACCCTCCCACGGAGAGTATGCTTCACCGAAAGCCGGAGGCCAAGACAGCGCCTCTCATCAACACGCCCATGTGGAAGATGATCATCGGCCAGTCTATCTACCAGCTCATCGTCACCCTTATCCTGCATTTCGCCGGCCCAAGCTTCCTCCACTATCCTACAGGCCAGCAGAAGACACTTGTTTTCAACGTCTTCACCTTCATGCAAATCTTCAAGCTCGTCAACAGTAGGCGAATCGACAACAACCTCAACATCTTTGAAGGCATCACGAAGAACAAGCTCTTTGCTCTGATGATGACCATTATGGCTGCCGGGCAAGTTCTCATCGTCTTCGTCGGTGGCGCTGCTTTCAAGGTTGAACGACTCAACGGTCCCCAATGGGGCATCTCCATCGTCCTCGGTTTCCTGTCGATCCCCGTCGGTGTTCTCATCCGCCTCGTTCCCGACTCATTCTGCGTAGCCATCGTCAGGCCTCTCGGTAAGGTCTGGGCTAAGATGCCCAAGTGGAAGCGTAAGAAGAAGGATGACGACGAAGAGGACTCGGAACAGTTGGGAGGGGTCACCGAGGCACTCCTGGAGATCCGCGAGGACCTGGCGTTCCTCAAGCGCATCAAGGGAGGAAGAATCAACCATATTAGCGAGGTCATCATGAAGCCTCGTGAATACAGGGAGCGCATCCGAAGCCGTAGCGGCTCTAGGTCCTCCAGCCGACATAATGTGTCGCCCATGAAGTCCGCCCTTGGCATGCCAGGTATCGTGGCAGCCAGTGTTGGAGGACTGTCGCCGGTTGAAAGACCGATATCCAACGACCGCCGAACAACAGAAGGCGGAAACGAGGAAGAAAACCGAACCAACTGAATTTACCTGTCTCGACCAGACCTCACCTTCTGACGTTAGCCTTGGTCAGTTTGGCACGTCATCATTGCATCAACAATTGCTCACCTTCCTCAAAACAATAGGAGGTGCTTGTTGCCCGAGCGTGTTTTCACTTTTTTCCATACATCATGTTACGAATGACCGACCGATCGACCGAAATGTACTATTGCTTCTTTTTCCTTGGACCGATCGAGATACGACAAATACCAAAAGGCTTCTTCATGTACGATACTCAAGACCGATAGACCGAATTAGTGCGCCGCAAGACCGAACGTTCGACCGTAAAAGTAATCAAATCAATAAAATAATAATACCAACTAGATGTTCTTTTCCCACTGTGCGCGTGTTCGGAAGAAAGCTTCTGCGCTGGTGCTTTCGGACCAGGTTCCCTGGCCGCGTAGTACCAGGAGTTGATTTGTTCATGTACTAATCTTTAGGCTGACAACTGATCAGAGAAGCAATATTGAGGAGTAGGATCAAGAGAGATAACTTCATTCATGTTGGCATTGACATGGTCTTTTATGGGCAGGTTCATGGTTCGGCGAGGTCATCACGCAGCAAAATCTGCCAGCAAGCTTATGCTAAAAAAGAGAAAAAACAATGGGCGGCCACCGGAGATATGTAGAGCCACCTAAACAAACTCGAACCATCGAGCTCTGCCGAAACCAGGCATACAATCCACCGCTAGGCTATCTTGCGACGGTGGTCGCACCCATTGTTGCGGAAGGTGGGAAGGTGAGTTGGCTATGAGGGAAGGAAGGAGCACCCCAGCGTTTCGGTCCGGCGAACACTTCACCTCCAAGCCCCCAACCCTCTGTCCCTCTTGTTGAGATTTTGGACGAATCAGCTTTTTGCCTCGTGGTAATTCTTCGCTTAGACGGCGATTGATTTCGCTAGCATCCCCAAGACTGTGTTTTCTTCAGAATTGCCGTCTATAAATGAGAAGGGGTGCTCAGAAATATCCGCAAAAGGGGCACAATGTAGGAGAATCTGTGCACCGTTGCTAGCCAGGAGCAATAGTCTTTCCGAACTTCAACCCTCCGCCCCTCGAGTGAATTCCGTTTCTCTGTGCTGTACACGAAACGAATTACTCTTAGTATTGAACTATCAAGAATACTAGAGAAGCATCCGAGGCGGAAGACGACCAAGGATGCTGCAGGCTTTCCAATGTGTTGAGGTGATGGCGCTGGTTCAATCGCAATCGCAAGACGACATGGACTGCTGTCGCAGCTAATGCAATACATTCATGGGATTCTAAGCTTGCAATTGTCCTGCGCCTTCGGGGCGGTGATTGCTTTGTTGTTTAAGCTTTCGCCCAGGGCGATGCCAGCCCTTTAGATAGGTACTCAGACACGTCATCGCGACAACAGTCCACTTGAACATTGCATAGTTCTATATAAAGCCGCGTCAATGTTCGGACTGTTTCGAGCTCTTCAGGACAATACGCTATCCACTTCATCCTCGGCCCGAGCTCCATGTCTCAGCGCGAAGCAGAAGAATGGCTAAGACATGGGACAAATGTGAAGCTAGAAGGCTCACGAGAGCATCAGCTTCTATTGAGGCATGTTTATTTCTGCTGCTAATCACCACTTTGCACTTATTCGTTACTCGTACTCCGTTGAAAATATATATGCTGAGATATCAATCGGGGCTCACAATGAACTGTGATCTCACGCAGAGTCTCGATCTCGACTATTGGTCACATTCAAGATATATTACAATACAAGGACTCATTTCTTCTCAAGAAAGCTTCTGGATTCAGTCCTACAGTATGTGCCTTTTGTGATTCTTGAAAAATAATGAACCAGACGTTATTTGAGGAATGTAGCTCTAACTTTGTGTTTTCTGTGAAAGACTTCATCGCAATAGCTGATCGCAAGATCTACCACAACAGTGACGTTCATTTTCCTAATGTAGCAGTATTTATATGGATTCATGGGTTCTCTTTGCGCTTCCAGTTCTTTGCAATTTGCTTCGACTTCCACGACTGGCTCTCACAGCTACGTTCACCAGCTTGATCTCATCCCTTTTGATCGGCACAGTGAACAAGTGGCGCTTCAATAATTACAGTGTTCAAGCATTCAGTAACACCTACCTAATGGTGCAACTTCTAAACAACAACATCAACCTTTATCTGTGTGCCTGGTCCCTGTTGTTTTGAACGCCGCGTTATATCATATCAACAGGATTCTCCGCAAAGATTTGCTCAGATGTCGTGAAGTCATACCGGCTCCCCAGTGTCTCTCTTAGGTACATAAGTACGACCGGGAGTCATCAACTAATTGATATTACATGTACCAGGATCCCAGGTTTCGGAATTTCTGGCCCATTGGTGAAATGTACATGTTCATAGTAATCTCAGCGAAGTTTAACTTGTGCGGCAGGCTTGTGGCTGGTGCAGACCAAGTTCCTTACCTGCTGACTGTTGATTATTCAGTTAAGGATACTCGAAAGCTCGAATAACATAGATAGAACAGTGGTTCCAGACCCAAAATGATTACATCCGCTCGTTTAGGAAGCCTAATACGAGAAATGATACGCTCAGAACAAGGGTGGCAGGAGTCGACAAACTGGCTACAGCAAATGAAAGTTAAAGAAGCCGTACAGACGATGAGATGGATCTATCAGAATGTCTTGGCGTATTGGTCAACATGCTCTTACGGAGGCTGATATCCAACCTTGGATAAGACTTATATTGTTGTCTGGTATGTTGCAATGCTAGACGAGACGTCTTTTACATGTGATTCTCATGATTCCTCACCATATCGACATTGCTCGTAAGGTGCTGTTTGCTACCCACATTACTCTACGTTACTTTTGTATGCCTCAAAGGTAGTGGAAGTGAAAGGTACTGGGAGTGATCGGACAAGAATGACGTCGCATGAGAGCTGTGTTGAACTTTGTCTTGTGAGATTTGCCTGGAGCAGACACTTGCAAGTCGATGATGCACGGAAAATATGCGAGCAGACAGCTGCTCATGCAAATGTGCATTGTTCCCGGTCATCTCTGCTTATATATACATATACAGGCTGCAATACGATAGAAACTTATGCTTCAATGGGCTGGGTGCTTAAGGATCTGTCGATAAACCACTGTATCGACGGTCTTATACATTGAAGGCGGCCAAAACGACATGAACGCCTCGATGAACCCATGGCCTCGTTGAGTGGTTCTATGGTCTGCTTGATTTACATTCGACTTTTGATCAGATGGTCCTGCCCTGGCATCAGGCCATCGTACAGGGGGTAAAGGACTAGAATGAAACTCTATTCAATATCTATCTACAGTCACAGATTTCAATGTGACTTGGAGTCTCTGAGTGATTCTATTCACGCCCGAAGTTCAGCGGTCATCTTTCCTGAATGAGAAGGAAGCTCGGGACAAGTGCGATGGGAACGAGCATGACCCCGCCACTGCCGTGCGATTTTCTAGACAGATTGGACATCATATAAGATGGATTATAATCTGTGACTTGACTGCATGTGGTTACAGTTCGTTGTTCCACGTGCCTGGCGGTGATTTATTCAGGAATACGCCTGCAAGGTCTTAACTCACGACACCACGCTGTGAGCCCTCATCTTTCAGAAACCAACGGGCTTCGATGTACATTCATTTCGAATGGCAATATATTCAAGCCATAGTTACCGACGGGCATCAGAATGGAAGCTATCGCATTGCGGTCTGTGATCATCAGTAAACCCTTTTCTAATTGACTTATAAAGAACACGTCTTTTTAGCGAGTGCACCAGCAGCGGTTCCTTCTGTTACCATGAGGACTAAACCGTGGAAAGATTATGGGAGTAACTCAGAGATGACCTGCAGTCACTGGGATAAGGGTATATCAGCAATAGCAAACTCGAACAGAGCTTGATCTCCAACGATTGCACTAGAAGACGGCAATCCTTCCGCCTCCGTGGCTTCATCTCGTCCGTCAACTGTCCTTATGACTATCACTGCAGACATGATATAACAATCACCGTCACCGGAGAGGTAGAATGGGTTCAACACTGAAGTCTGATGATACGTTGAGTTTACACCCCCGGAGGCGAGAGACAGGGAGGCGAAGGAGATCCCCAAGTTCAGTCTCCGACTCTCATCCGTAGCTGTGGGCCTACAACAACGGGGCATAATGAGTCGATAACTGCCATGCTCACAGGAACTGTTGCGCAGTGTGATCGAATGGATGGATTTGGCGTGTTGGGTCTTCATTTACTTGCAACTCATACCAACCTTTTATATGCGTAATCATCCATGTCATTGGTGCACCTGTCGGTCCAGTCGGCTGAGCGGTTCCCAGCTCCTCAATGCCGACATTCAAAAAAGCACGTAGTTGAGCGAAGTTCCCTCTGAGTGTCACTTTTATAAAACCTATCGGTCTCCTCTGGAGCACCGCGGGAAACCCAATGAGAACCCAGCAATGTCCGCGGATCTTGGCACCATGATGAGCACATGATCATGACAGTACGCGACGGCACAAGCAGCAAAGCTTACGGCGATGGTGCGTTTCTCTAGGTAGAACCAGCCGTCCCTCTCCCCTATCTCTGGTCCTCTATTCTATTCACTGAATACTCCACAGATGCGCCTTGTAGATTATTATCAGCAGGTATGGTCCATTGTCAGAACAGCTCCCGGATGCGGTCGTGGCCACAAAATTCTTGCCATCTATTTGCGTTTGGACTCCGAAGCAAATTACCCGGGTATCTGGACGCTCTGTAGGATGAATCTATGTAGTCCACCAACGGGGGATTCGGGCATCTGTGGCCACGCTCGCCATCTATGATGTATAGAATGGCAGTGTGTCTGTCGCCTGAACTGAATCCGTCACCGCAATCAGACTCTGGACTACCAGTGTTGTCCCTGCCGTGTGTCCTCGGCTTTAATCGCCAATGTACAAAATATCAAAGCCCAGACCCCTCCATCGCACGGCGTCACTTCATACGCTCTTTCACTTCTCCCCACTTTCTTTCTGCTGTTATTCGTGT